GTTATTTAGGGCAAGCAAATTACAAAACTTAAATCTCTCTTTTTTCCTCCTCTTAGTAAAGGCTATGAAGAACATTTGGCAGGAGCTTTGCAGCTAACAAAGCCCTTTCCAATACTTCAACTTGTGGCCGGGCGCGGTGGCTCAAGCCTGTAATCCCAGCACTTTGGGAGGCCGAGGCGGGCGGATCACAAGGTCAGGAGATCGAGACCACAGTGAAACCCCGTCTCTACTAAAAATACAAAAAATTAGCCGGGCACGGTGGCGGGCGCCTGTAGTCCCAGCTACTCAGGAGGCTGAGGCAGGAGAATGGCGGGAACCCGGGAGGCGGAGCTTGCAGTGAGCCGAGATCGCTCCACTGCACTCCAGCCTGGGCAACAGCGTGAGACTCCGTCTCAAAAAAAAAAAAAAAAAAAAAAAAAAAACTTCAACTTGTTAGAACTCTTTGATGTAGGCAGTATTATCCTCACATTAGGGAGGAAACTGAGATTTAAACTAAGTCATTAAGGTTGGCAGAGCTAGCACTCAAACCCAGGACATTTAGCTTCAAAAAGCCTAGTGCTCTGTTTTCACTAAACAGTCACGTGTCTGAAAACCAAGCCGGGTACGGTGGCTCATGACTGTAATCCCAGCACTTTGAGAGGCTGAAATAGGAGGTTCACTTGATTCCAGGAGTTTGAGACCAGCCTGGACAACATAGTGAGATCCCCATTGCTAAAAAAAATAATAATAATAGTGTTTAAATTAGCCAGGTATGGTGATATATGCCCGTAGTCCCAGCTACTCGGGAGGCCGAGGTGGTAGGATCACCTGAGCCATGATTGTACCATTGCACTCCAGCCTGTGTGACACAGCAAGACCTTGTCTCAAAAATAAATAAATAAAATTTAAAAACCCCTCTTTTTTTTTTTTTTTTTTTTGAGACGGAGTCTCGCTCTGTCGCCCAGGCTGGAGTGCAGTGGCGCAATCTCGGCTCACTGCAAGCTCCGCCTCCCGGGTTCACGCCATTCTCCGGCCTCAGCCTCCCGAGTAGCTGGGACTACAGGCGCCCGCCACTGCGCCCGGCTAATTTTTTTCTATTTTTAGTAGAGACGGGGTTTCACCATGGTCTCGATCTCCTGACCTTGTGATCCGCCCCGCCTCGGCCTTCCAAAGTGCTGGGATTACAGGCGTGAGCCACCGCGCCCGGCCAACCCCTCTGTTTTGCAAACAGTTCCCTCTGTTGTACAAAGGCCGAATTTGGCCCTGGAGAAAGAATCAGGGTCAGCGGGTGCGGTGGCTCACGCCTATAATCCCAGCACTTTGGGAGGCCGAGGCCAGGAATTCCAGACCAGCCTGGACAACATGGCAAAACCCTGTCTTTACTAAAATTACAAAAATTAGCCAGGCATGGGGGTGCATGCCTGTAATTCTAGCTACTCGGGAGGCTAAGGTAGGAGAATCGCTTGAATCCAGGAGGCGGAGGTTGCAGTGAGCTGAGATCATGCCACTGCACTCCAGTCTGGGCAACAGAGTGAGAATCTGTCTGAAACAAAACAAAACAAAACAAAAACAGAAAGAAAGAATCAGGGTCAACAAATCAGTACGGATGCAGATTCCTCAGATGCCAGGAATCCTAGGATAAATGGCAGGGGCAAACCAAATACTTCCCATTCTTCCCTCACCACCCTCCTCCATCCAATAAAGAAGTAAATAAATTCATCAAGTCCCCTCTGCCCCAGTGCATGGAATGTTTACCTGTGGACTAGGACTGGCCTACGTGCCAAACAGGTCTTACCTCCTGGGCGGCATGTTTGCAGGGGCTCTTGATGATGACGTTGGCCTCCTTCCGCACCCTCCCACTCTGTGGCTGTCTCACCTGAGATGACTTTCTTCCTTTTGCATTAAGTGTGAGCCCTGGTAAATTTTTTTTAAAAAGCCTCCAGGTGACATCATTTTAACACCAGTAACAATCACAAATCTGGGTGAATGAGCCTCAGAGTTTTTCTTGAGAGTAGTGTGCGTGCGTGTGTGTGTTTTCCACGGAAAAATAAAATGTATTACACAAACTATAAGTATTAATTACAGAAAAGTGGCCAGGTGCAGTGGCTCACGCCTATAATCCTAGCACTTTGGGAGGCCAAGGCGGGCAGATTGCCTGAGCTCAGGAGTTTGAGACCAGCCTGGTCAACATGGTGAAACCCCGTATCTACTAAAAATATAAAAAATTAGCTGGGCATGGTGGCGCATGCCTGTAGTCTCAGGTACTCGAAAGGGTGAGGCACGAGAATCTCTTAAGCCTGGGAGGTGGAGGTTGCAGTGAGCTGAGAACATGCCACTCAACTCCAGCCGGGGTGACAGAGCAAGACTGTGTCTCAAAAAACAAACGAAGTATTAATTACAGAAAGGTAAGCCTGGCCAATAGGACAGGAAAAGCAGCCCCACTGCAGATCCACACCAGTACGGAAACTTGAGGCACCACACACATGACTTTGCTGACTGGGGCAAAGAATGAACTAGTGAGCAAACAGTGCTGGGATAATCTGTAATCCTTTTGGAAAGAAATGAACTTGGATCTGATCTTACTACACAGAAAAAAAAAGTCAAGATAGCTGGCCTTGGCTGGGCGCGGTGGCTCAAGCCTGTAATCCCAGCACTTTGGGAGGCCGAGGCGGGTGGATCACGAGGTCAGGAGATCGAGACCATCCTGGCTAACATGGTGAAACCCCGTCTCTACTAAAAATACAAAAAAAAAACTAGCCGGGCGTGGTGGCGGGCGCCTGTAGTCCCAGCTACTCGGAGGCTGAGGCGGGAGAATGGCGTGAACCCGGGAGGCGGAGCTTGCAGTGAGCCGAGATCGCGCCACTGCACTCCAGCCTGGGCGACACAGCGAGACTCCATCTCAAAAAAAAAAAAAAAAAAAAAGATAGCTGGCCGTGATGGCTCACGCCTATAATCCCAGCACTTTAGGAGGCTGAGGCGGGTGGATCAAGAGGTCAAGAGACCAAGACCATCCTGGCCAATGTGGTGAAACCTGTCTCTGTGGCAGCACGCACCTGTAGTTCTAGCTACTCGGGAGGCTGAGACAGGAGAATCACTTGAACCTGGGAGGCAGAGGTTGCAGTGAGCTGAGATCACGCCATTGCACTCCAGCCTGGCAACAGAGCAAGACTCTGTCTCAAAAAAAAAAAAAAAAGTCAAGATATTAAATATGAAAGCAACACTTTATTTTTTATTTTAAGACAGGGTCTCTCTCTGTTACCCAGACTGGAGTACAGTGACATGATCTCTGCTCACTGTGATCTCTGCCTCCCAGTAGCTGGGACTACAGGGGCCCACCACCACACCTGACTAATTTTTGTATTTTTGGTAGAGATGCAGTTTCACCATGTTGCCCAGCCTGATCTTGAACTTCTGGATTCAAGCGATCCGCCCTCCTCAGCCTCCCAAAGTGCTGGTGCTACAGGCGTGAGCCACCTCACCCAGGTGCAAGTGACACTTTAATATTTTCCGGAAATTATAGGAGATGATTGTTAAGAGCTCAGGATAAAGAGAAGTTTCTGCCCAGGAATGGTGGCTCACACTGTAATCTCAGCACTTTCGGTGGCGGAGCGCCTGTGGTCAAGAGTTTGAGACCAGCCTGACCAACATGGTGAAACCCCATCTCTACTAAAAATACAAAAATTAGCCGGGCATGGTGGTACACACCTGTAATCACAGCTACTTGGGAGACTGAGGCAGGAGAATCCCTTGACACCAGGAGGCAGAGGTTGCAGTGAGCTGAGATTGTGCCACTGCACTCCAACCTGGGTGACACAGCAAGACTCTGTCTCAAAAAAATTTTTCTTTTTTTAAACAATGTACTTATTTATTTTTAATTTTTTCTGAGATGAAGTCTTGCTATGTTGCCCAGGCTGGTCTCAAACTCCTGGGCTCTGATGATCCTCCTGCCTTAGCCTCTCAAAGTGTTGGGATTACAGGTATGAGCCACAGACAAGAGAAGTTTCTTTTTTTTTTTTTTTGAGATGGAGTCTTGCTCTGTCATCCAGGCTGGAGTGCAGTGGTGCCTTCTTGGCTCACTGCAACCTCTGCCTCCTGGGTTCAAGAGATTCTCCTGCCTCAGCCTCCCGAGTAGCTGAGACTACAAGCACCCTTCACTTTGCCCGGCTAATTTTTGTATTTTTAGTAGAGATGGGGTTTTACCGTGTTGGCCAGGTTGGTCTCCAACTCCTAACCTCAGGTGATCCTCCCGCCTCAACCTCCCAAAGTGCTGGGATTACAGGCGTGAGCCACCGCGCCCAACTGGAAGAGAGAAGTTTCTTAAGATAAAAGGAAATGCAGGCCGGACTTGATGGTTCATGCATGTAATCCCAGCACTTTGGGAGTCTAAGGCAGGAGGATCGCCTGAGTAACATGAAACCCTGTCTCTACCAGAAATACAAAAAATTAACTGGGTGCAGTGGCATGTGCCTGTGATCCCAGCTACCCAGGAGGGTGAGGTGGGAGGATCAACTGAGCCTGGGAAGATCTTTTGAGCAGAAATCTCACCACTGCACTCCAACCTGGGTGACAGAATGAGACCCTGCCTCAAAAAATAAATAAATAAAAAAGACCATAAAGAAAAAAAATTGATACATTAGCTCCATCAAAACAAATCAAAAGCCATCTTAAAACAGAGAATCTCAGGCTGGGCACGGTGGTTCATGCCTGTAATCTCAGCGCTTTGGGAGACTGAGGCAGGCGGATCACGAGGTCAGGAGATCAAGACCATCCTGGCTAACACGGTGAAACCCCGTCTCTATTAAAAATACAAAAAATTAGCCGGGTGTGGTCGCAGGTGCCTGTAGTCCCAGCTGTTTGGGAGACTGAGGCAGGAGAATGGCGTGAACTCGGGAGGTGGAACTTGCAGTGAGCTGAGATCACGCCACTGCACTCCAGCTTGGGCTACAGAGAGAGACTCCGTCTCGGGAAAAAAAAAAAAAAAAAAAAAAAGATGCTCTCAACTCTGGCTGCAGGAGCATCACGTGAGGAGCTTTTTTTTTTTTTTTTTTTTTTTTTTTTTTGACAGTGGCCTTTTTCACAGGTACTTTACAAGATGCTTTACAACTTGGCATGGCAGACCAGTTTCCCAGTTTGGTACATTCTATTTCTTCTGGGCCATCCAGGGAATATCCATCATGGCAGCCAAATGTAGCTTTATCCTTGTAATAAAGTACTGGTTTTGCAGGATAGTTCACAAATCCATTGTCTGGTCTTAATGGGAATGGGCATTTTACTTCCCTGCATTCTGGTAATTTAGTCCAATTTCCATGGGTTGTGCAGGTAATTGTATCATTTCCAAACATCGCATGTTGTGGCAAACATTCAAAAACTGCCGTGTCCTGATAGAACGAATTGTTTCCAGCTGATGGCTTATAAACACGAAGTGTTGCAAACATAGGTACGGATGGTGGAGGGCAGGTGATGGGAGCACAGACAGGAATCCCTGGGCTCCATTGTCCTTCCTCAGTGCACTTGGCAGAATTAGCGCCATTCAGATAAAACCCAGTATTACAAGAAAAATTGATGGTGTTGGGATATTCAAAAGTTGTATAGCGTACTGCTCCATTTTCTAAGATTCCAGCAAAAGGACATACTCTGGGTGTACATTTCAGAGTGTTGATGGGCCACATTCCTGTGAGAGGGCAGATAAACCGTCTCATCCCTCCCCGGGACACATAGCCCGGCTTGCAGGAATACGTAATCTCCTCTCCTGGCTCATAGAATGTTTTTAATGGGACCACTATGGAAAAGGGTAAATCATCTGGCTTGGGACAGGCTGTAATCCCAGCACTTTGGGAGGCCGAGGCGGGTGGATCACGAGGTCAGGAGATCAAGACGATCCTGGCTAACACGGTGAAACCCCGTCTCCACTAAAAATACAAAAATTAGCCGGGCATCATGGCGGGCGCCTGCAGTCCCAGCTACTCGGGAGGCTGAGGCAGGAGAATGGCATGAACTCGGGAGGTGGAACTTGCAGTGAGCTGAGATCAGAGACAGAGTTTTGCGCTTGTTGCCCAGGCTGGAGTGTGGAATGGTGTGCGATCATTGGCTCACCAAAACCTCCGCTTCCCAGGTTCAAGCGATTCTCCTGTCTCAGCCTCCCTAGTAGCTGGGATTATAGGCATGCACCACCACGCCTGGCTAATTTTGTATTTTTTTTTTAGTAGAGACGGAGTTTCTCCATGTTGGTCAGGCTGGTCTCAAACTCTTGACCTCAGGTGATCCACCTGCCTCGGTCTCCCAAAGTGCTAGGATTACAGGTGTGAGCTACCACGCCTGTACCCAGCTAACTTTTTGTATTTTTTGTAGAGACAGGGTTTCACCATGTTGCCCAGGCGGTGTTAAACTCCTGATCTGAAGCAATCCATTTATGTTGGCCTCCCAAAGTGCTGGGATTACAGGTGTGAGCCACCACACTGGCATTATTCTTTAAAAAGTATATTATGACCAGGTACTGTGCATAACAAAACAAAGCAAATGCATGTACATACTAAAAAATGGTAGCTGCTGCCACTGCACCTGGCCCTTTCTAATTAAGAAAAAAAACTTTTTCAATCAGGACCTCGCTATGTTCCTTAGGCTGGTCTCGAACTCCTGGCCTCAAGCAGTTCTCCCAAAGAACTAGTGGTGTGAGCCACCACACCTGGCCTCAAACTTTTTTTAAAACAAAAATGGGGCTGGGTGCAGTGGCTCATACCTGTAATCCCAGCAACTTGGGAGGCCAAGGTGGGCAGATCATTTGAAGTTGGGAGTTTGAGACCAACCTGGCCAACATGGCAAAACTCCATCTCTACTAAAAATACAAAAATTAGTCAGGCATGGTGGCACATGCCTGTAATCCTGGCTACTTGGGAGGCTGAGGCAGGAGAATCACTTGTACCTGGGAGGTGGAAGTTGCGGCGAGCCGAGATCACACCACTGTACTCCAGCCTGGATGACAGAGCAAGACTCCTAAAAAAACTAAATAAATAAAATAAAAAATAAAAAAATCTGCATACCATTCTGTCACTTGCTTTTTTACGTACTACCTCAAAATGTTGAGGTTCATTCATCCAACAAGTATTTAGTTAGCCCTTAAATGTGTGCTCAAAAGCTAGGGACCCAGCAGTGTCCTTGCCTTCAAAGGATTTTCACTGCAGTGGAGGGGACACATGATAGACAACAAGCAAGTAGTAATGAAAGACAAGAGGGAAATGAAGGTGACAGACAAGTTAATAGGGCCCATGCTCAGTGGCTCATGCCTGTAATCCCAACACTTTGGGAAGGAGAGGCGGGCAGGTCACCTGAGGTCAGGAGTTCAAGACCAGCCTGGCCAACATAGTGAAACCCCATCTCTACTAAAAGTACAAAAATTAGGCCGGGCCCGGTGGCTCAGCCTGTAATCCCAGCACTTTGGGAGGCCGAGGTGGGTGGATCACGAGGTCAGGAGATCGAAACTATCCTGGCTAATACAGTGAAACCCCGTCTCTACTAAAAAAAAAAAAAAAAAAAAAAAAAAAAAAAAAAAATTAGCCGGGCTTGGTGGCGGGCGCCTGTAGTCCTAGCCACTCGGGAGGCTGAGGCAGGAGAATGGCGTGAACCCAGGAGGCGGAGCTTGCAGTGAGCTGAGATAGAGCCACTGTACTCCAGCCTGGGAGACAGAGTGAGACTCTGTCTCAAAAAAAAAAAAAAAAGGTACAAAAATTAGCCAGGCGTAGTGGCGCATGCCTGTTGTCCCAGCTACTCAGGAGACTGAGGCACAAGAATTGATTAGACCCAGGAGACGGTGAGGTTGCAGTGAGCCAAGATCGAGCCACTGTGCTCAAGCCTGGGTGACAGAGTAAGACTTGGTCTCAAAAAGCAAAGTTAATAGGAATGCAGCCTTTATGTTCTGGTATCGTCTTTTAGCAATTCCATGAAGTACAATGGAGTTTCCAAGTTTTCTCTGTGACAAAGGGATGCTGCTTTGTCACCTTTTTTTTTTTATTTTCTACAGGGTAAGAGTCTTACCCTGTAGCCCAGACTGGAGAGCAGTGATGCGATCACAGCTCACTGCAGCCTCCAACTCTTAGGTTCAGGGGATCCTCCCACCACCTGAGTAGCTGAGACTGCAGGTACATGCCACCGTACCTGGCTTATTTATTTATTTATTTATTTATTTTTATTTATTTATTTTTGTGACGGAGTCTTGCTCTGTCGCCCAGGCTAGAGTACAGTGGCTCTATCTCGGCTCACTGCAAGCTCCGCCTCCCGGATTCACGCCATTCTCCTGCCTCAGCCTCCCGAGTAGGGGGGACTACAGGCGCCCGCCACCTCGCCCGGCTAGTTTTTTGTATTTTTTAGTAGAGACGGGGTTTCACCGTGTTAGCCAGGATGGTCTCGATCTCCTGACCTCGTGATCTGCCCGTCTCGGCCTCCCAAAGTGCTGGGATTACAGGCTTGAGCCACCGCGCCCGGCCGCATTTTTACATATTAACAAGATTCACAGGTGATTTGTATGCACATTTCAGTTTGAGAAGGACTGGTTTAGAATGGAAGATAAAAAATGGCAGATAAGGCATGGCGCTCATGCCTGTAATACTAGCACTTTGGAAGGCCAAGGGGGGAGGATCACAAGGTCAGGAGTTCAAGACCAGCCTGGCCAACATGGAGAAACCCCATCTCCACTAAAACAAAAAACAAAAAACAAAACAAAAATTAGCCGGGCATGGTGGTGGGAGCCTATAATCCCAGCTACTCAGGAGGCTGAGGTGGGAGAATTGTTTGAACCCGGGAGGTGGAGGTTGCAGTGAGCCAAGATCGTGCCAATGCACTCCAGCCTGGGCAATAAGAGCAAGACTCCATCTCAAAAAAAAAAAAAAAAAAAAAAAAAGGCAGATAAAGTGTTAAACACCTTCAGTTCAATTAGGGATTGATGAGAGACAGTGTGACCTAAAACATTCTTCTGGGTTGAATTTGACCTTGTTGCCTGGACGGTCAATATTGTGGTGTTTATCCTCTTAGGGAGAGAACTCCAAAGACCAGATCATTTCCTTAATCTGCTTCTCTAACCAGGTGTGGGAATCCAGATTGCCTCAAAATCTTGAGCTGTTAAGGCTAGGAAGAGCCTGAGATGTCATCAGTTGAGCTCAATCCTTAGCTGCTGCCCTGCCCACTTCTGCACACCCCCATTTCACAGGCAAGGCTCTGGGAAGGGCAGTGGTTTGCTCAAACCACATATCAGCCCAGGGCTGGCCACAGTCCTGGGTCCCAGCCAGTAGTTATGTTTTCTCTAAGTTTTGGTCCATTTTTTTTATCTTATGAATTCAGCCTATCTTTTTAGAAAAATGAATTTTAAAAACATATATGGCCGGGCGCAGTGGCTCACACCTGTAATCCCAGCACTTTGGGAGGCCGAGGTGGGCGGATCACCAGGTCAGGAGATACAGATCATCCTGGCTAACATGGTGAAACTCTGTCTCTACTAAAAATACACAAAATTAGCTGGGCGTGGTGGCAGGCGCCTGTAGTCCCAGCTACTCGGGAGGCTGAGGCAGGAGAATGGCATGAACCCGGGAGGCAGAGTTTGCAGTGAGCCGAGATTGCACCACTGCACTCCAGCCTGGGCAACAGAGCGAGACTCCCGTCTCAAAAAAAAACAAAAAAACAAAAAAAATACATTGGTTCGTATTAGAAAAGTATCATTGTAGCAGGACGAGCCACAGACAAGAACCCGTCAGACACCGAGTTGTAGAAGGAAAGGACTTTATTCAGCTGGGAGCATTGGTGGACTCACGTTTCCAAAAACCGAGTTCCCTGAGTGAGCAATTCCTATCACTTTTAAGGGCTTACAACTCTAAGGGGATCCACGTGGGAAGGTTGTGATCGATTGAGCAAGCAGGGGGTACGTGACTGGAGGCTACATGCACCAGTAATCGGTAATCCGTAATCGGTAATCAGAACGGAACAGAACAGGACAGGGATTTTCACGATGCTTTTCCACACAATGTCTGGAATCTACAGATAACACAAGTAGTTCGGTCAGGGGTTGATTTTTAACTACCAGGCCCAGGGCGCGGTGCTGGGCTATCTGCCTGTGGATTCCATTTCTGCCTTTTAGTTTTTACTTCTTTCTTTGGAGGCAGTAATTGGGCATAAGACAATATGAGGGGTGGTCTCCTCCCTTATCATGTGCTTATTGTAAAAAAATCAGAGTTGGGCACGGTGGCTCACACCTGTAATCCCAGCACTTTGTGAGGCTGAGGAAGGGAATCACTTGAGCCAGGAGTGCAAGACAACCTGAGCGACACATGAGACCCTATCTCTACAAAAAAAAAAAAAAAAAAAAAAAAAAAAAAAAATACCAGGCAGATGTGTGTATGCCACACTCAAGACTGAGGCGAGATGGAGCCGAAGGTGAGCTGCAGTACCATGATGAATCACCACACTGACAGAAGAACTTTAAAAAAAAAAAAAAAAAAGCTAAAATGAATGTAAAAAAAAAAAAAAAAAAAAAAAAAAAAAAAACGCGACGCAGTGGTCAACTGTAACCAGCATGGGAGAGGTGCAACACTGAGATCAGGAGTTTGACCAACCTGGCCAACATGATGAAACCCTGTTTTTACTAAAAATACAAAATTTAGCTGGGAATAGTGGTGGGTGCCTATAATCCCAGCTACTCGGGAGGCTGAGGCAGGATAATCGCTTGAACCTGGGAGGTCGAAGTTGCAGTGATCTCGAAGCTGAGATCGCCCCACTGCACTCCAGCCTGGGCAACAGAGTGAGACTCCATCTCAAAAAAAAAAAAAAAAAAAGCTAGAGAGAAGAAAGTAAAATATTCTTTGAGTCACC